TATGTATACTATATTGTATGGATAATATGTGAAATAAAAATTATATTAAACCATGAATTATTCAATATCGAAATAATTGGGTATGTGATATAAATTGGTGATGTGATGTTTTTTTGGGGGATAAAATTCAACTTCTGAGCTATCCTATTATCAAACATCATATTGCTGTAGTTGCTTCAAGTTCTCTAAATTGCAATTTTGTTGTCATCTAGCAATGGGTAAGCTTGTCTCACATTTCACCTAGTTTATTGATCCTTGTTTCTTTCTTTTTATTTTCTACCGTATTTCGTGTATATTTGATAGCTCCATCTTACCACAGCATGTAACATATATGTATGAATGTATCATACACATATTCACACACACAGACACACACACACACACACACACACACAGCTCTACTTGTTTATGATTGGAATTCAAAAACAACTCTACTTTATTATATAGATATAGATGCATAGCAAGAATCTAACCCCCATGCCTAGCAACACCTGCATAGTAATAACGCAATAGTCTCTCTCTCTTTCTCACACACACACACAAGCACACACTAACCCCCATCCTACCCCCATATCTTCTCTGCCCTCTTCTACTCAACATCACCCAACACTTCTCTCGCTCACACACAATCACATTGCACACGCACACCCACAGCGCACAATACACACATACATACTCACCACCCACACACAAATCGCACACACACAAACAAACCCAGCACACACACCCAACACAGACCCAGTATACACGCACCCACATCACACACACTCACACCCACTCACCCACTCACCCAGAAACAAACACCCACACCCACTCACCCACTCACCCACACACACATCACAAACAGACCCACCCACACCAATTGTTTGTTGGAATGACCGAGAGAAATTTTTGTGTAATTTTGATTTACACTTTGTTTGATTTAGCTTATAATGTGTTGAATTAGCTTATATTCAATCTAATTAGCTTAAGTTTAGAAATCAAGGTCTTTCCTATACTGGATGCCTCTTTTCTCTTTTCTAGAAAATGCAAAAACTCAATTCGGTTTCTGTAGCTTTCTGCAATCAAAATGTTTTCCAATCTTTGAGCAGAAATGATCATTTTCGACTTCAGCTAGAGAGAGAGGTGGGTATGTTTAATTTGCTGTGGGTCGTGAAAGGGGGAGAGGGAGGTACCTGGGCTGAGCTTGGTGAGCCGCTGTGTGCCGCTGCTGAGCCGTTGGTGTCGCTGCTGTGTTGATCGCCACTGTGTGCCGCTGCTGAGCCGGTGTCGCTGCTGCTGAGCCGTTGTGAGAAGGGTGTGGGTAGAGGGGTAAGGGGTCTGGGTTGCTGTCTGGGGTGAGGCATGGCAGAGGAAATGGGTATGTAGGGAAATGGGTGAGGCATGGCGGGAGACAGAGAGTAGCTGTGTAGGGGAATGGGTTTGATTTGAGTAACTGTAGGCGTGTGGATAAAAATGGGCGGGATTTTTTTTTTGGGTTGAGATGCATTGCAAGCCATTGGATTGAAATGGAAGAAATGAGATGAAAATGTGGGCCTTTGAATTAAAAGTGGATTTAATCTGAGCCGTTCTTATGCTTTTCCAAATAAATTAAATTTTAAAGTAGAAAAAAATTCAAAATGAGTCCTATCTTATTAGTAAAGATGATTTTTTTTCGGTTATATAGTGTTTAAGCTTGTATCGATTATTTTCTTAAATTTTAATATCTGTCACCATAATTCGATTTAATTTAAATACATGTCTCGTGAAAAATAATGATTATTGTAAGGAAAAAAGAATATTGGTGTATAATCGTTACACCACATCTGCAACGCTAAATGGTATAACCATTCATTAATAAATAAACAAATCATTAAAAAGGTTTTATTAAAATTCATACCCACCTAATCATGTAATACATAACTTTCTCCGTTATAAAAAGCGGTCGAATTTGAAACTTTTTGTTTGAAAGATGACAAATTTAACCATTAGACCACTGTTACATTAAATATGATAAACCAATGGATAATGCCACATCAACAAAAAAAATTATTTTCAATTTAATTTTTATTTTTCTCAATTAATATAACATTAATCATAAACAATTCTAATGACAAATTTCTTATACTCATCACTACAACCTAAATTCTAAATTAATGTAACGGATATAATTGATGATTAAAATTAGGTTGATGTATTAAAGTAACTTGATTAGGATTATTTAAAAAAAATTCAGTTTGAAAAAAGAAAACACTATTATATTATTGGTATATAATTTGATAATTTAATGCACTCCCATTGTTAAATGTGTGTCCTAGTACTGAATGAAAAATGATAATAATAAATTAAATTTACAAATTAGATTAAAAAATTGGGTAAAATAACCCAAGAATTAATACGTGCTGACTCACCCTACTGTCACATGAAAGGTACATTCCCATTCTCCCACAAAGCACGGCTACAGTTGCCTTCGCCGTAACCCCTCTCTCTCTCTCTCTCTCGCTCGCGTTCGTCTCCTACCGTTACGTTGATACGACCTTCACCTCCGACTTGGAGCTTTCGCTCTCTAGTTTATGTATACCCGCAAAACCCCTACGGACTCACCCTCCAAATTCACACAGTCTCTCCCAAATTCCCCCCTCAGATCCACACAACTTTCCCTCTCTAAAACCTCCACCACTCTCTCTCTAATACCTCTCCATTTCTAGATCTATCCCTCGTGTCAACCCCCCTAAAACCCTGTAGTTCTGGAACATATATAAAACCCAGAATTTTTGTAATTTGAAGTCTGAATCTATGAAGGGCACGGGCCAGTGGTTCACGATCGGGCTCGTGTCGGCATGGTACACATCGAACATCGGAGTTTTATTGCTCAACAAGTACTTGCTTAGCAACTATGGGTTCAAGTACCCAATTTTCCTAACCATGTGTCACATGACTGCGTGTTCTCTGTTGAGCTACATTGCCATTGTGTGGATGAAAATGGTGCCTTTACAAACTATACGGTCGCGTGTGCAGTTCATGAAGATCTCGGCTCTGAGTCTTGTGTTCTGTGGTTCGGTGGTTTGTGGGAATGTGTCGTTGAGATATCTTCCGGTGTCGTTTAATCAGGCAGTCGGAGCTACGACGCCGTTTTTCACGGCTGTGTTTGCCTATTTGATTACGGTTAAGAGGGAGGCTTGGTTAACGTATGCCACTCTCATTCCTGTGGTCACTGGGGTCATCATTGCTAGTGGGGTAATTTCTTTTCTTTGGTTTTAATTTAATTTTATACCTTCTTCAGTTGTTCCCGGTACAGATTGAGATGGGTTGAATCCTGGGTAAACGCAACTAATTTTATCAGCAAGTCTAATTTTTGTTCTTGTTATTGAGAATTCGACAAATAGCTGGCTAGAAATTGATGTTAATTAGAAGACTATTATTTTTTATTTTTTGGCATATTTGTTTTTTGAAGCCATGATCTTTCTTGGGTATAAGGAAATTTGGAGGATTGATATTCGGTGATTCTCGTGTATATGTTATTNGTTTACAAGAATGAAAATGGTGAAGGAAAAGCAAGAACCCTAGTTTTCTCTCTCTACACTACTCCTAAGCTTAGGTTGCCTCCCTCTCTTTCTAAAAGCTTTTTTCCTCTAAATGCATGTAGGAAGTCTTTATTTTCATCCATCCCCCTCTCTCTTGGCATGAATGGCTGACTTGGAGTGATTAGAGAGAGGTTGACTACAAAAGAAAACCAAATGAGTCAAAGCATGGTCCTCCCATGCTTTTTCAACCACTCCCTCTCTCTACATCGGTCACCCACTCCCTCATACTTTAAATCTGAAAACAGAGGATAGGAGATCATCATAGAGTGTTAGAAATGTCAAAGCATGGATTAGGTGACGAAAGGTGGGCCCCCGTAGTTGGTAGAGTCGTTTGGAGAAGGATCTGGGCTTTCTGGGCATCTTCTATCGATAGCTCATATGGATTCTACCAGTAGCTCCTTTTTAGTAAGTTCTTCTACCGGTATGTCATAAGCTTCTACCGGTAGCTCGTAAGGGGTCTGCTACCGGTAGATTATTTCTAGCTTTCGTAAATTTATCATAACTTTTGATCCCACCATCTGATTCAACTAACATTTGACACAAGATAGAGGATATCCAGATCTACAACTTTCATGTTTTATACTTTTTTAGATTCGAAAAGGATCATAGTCAAAAATACAAAATATCGGGTTATCGATACCAAATGGTGTGAATGCCAGTACTTATGACACCAGTTACCGATACCTCCTTGATTTCTTTCACCTTTAAGCTTCCAAATCCACATATAATGTATTCATCTCTTCACTACTCATCCACACTTAGTTGTAGGGTTCTAAAAGTCGTCATTTACCCTATGATCACTTACAACATCAAAATTTCCACATTTTACACAAATGCGACTAACTTTAAGTAATTAAATACAAATTTGAGTTAAAATGCATGTAATAAGGCTGTTAAATATGCAATATTATGCGTTCATCAATATCTGCTCATCTTTGCGACTTCCTAAAGCCTCACAATGCATCCAAATGAGTTTAAAGCATGCCTTCTGATACCTAATTACCTACAAACACACAATTTACTCATTAAACACAAACTCGGCTAAAATGAAATATATAATTAACAAGCAAAGCCAAGATGGTTGGTTTAAGACATAAAATTATAAAAAAGTGTGTACTCAACACGTGTCGTCTCTGGCCCTACCCCTATGCTTTGCACAGCTACGACTGTGGTCGGCGTGGGGGAGTTCTCCTTTAATGTTGGTCCCCTGGTGATCGGGCTCCTCGTGGTCTTACAACCTTCTTAAGGCTTATTTTAGTTCCTTATTATCCCGTCTAAGCTTTGTTTCCTCTTTTTGGGACCTCTTAAGCATGACGGCATAGGCTTCTGGTCGGTCCTCAAAGGACTGGACCAGCTTCACAAAAGATAGAACTTCTCATTGGTTCGTGAAACACATTCTTGATGGTCATTATCCCAAGGATTAAACTACGTAGAAGAGGCATTCTCATGATCTACTCGTACTGTGTTTGAACTTCTAGCAAAATTTTCTCTTATGTGACTATCAGAGGGTAAGGATACTCGGTAGTTACATTCAAGGTGGTACTCATTAGATTCCTGATTGTTATGTGGTGATCTTAGTGTGCTCTTTAGGTTTGACATGGCTAAATCTTCTGGCTCTTTTACATTTGATTGATGGCCCCAATTGTACAAGAAAAAAAATCTTGTACATTTGATTGATGGTGACGTTGAATCTAATTGTGGTTTAGGAAAACGAATAGAGTTCATAGGTAAGCAAATTGCAGGGATAAAAGTGTGTACCCTAAACTTATCTTTTATTTATATGGATTTGCACCATAGTTTTAGGGCTTTCTTTTTTTTCATGGTTGTACATTGTGCGACACATTATTTTTTGCCAAATTTTCCTTATTTTTTTCTGGAAGTTTTGTAGCCTTGCTTTTTCTATTGATTGATTATTAGGTTACATGGTTATAATGGTCATCTATAATTTAGGTAATTTTTTAGACTTCCTTTTATGCACCGTCTCTCGGGATAATCTAGCTACCCCTTTGTTCGGTATTATCCTAGACAAGGGTTGTGTTCTGAGTATACATCAACCTTTATGTTTGTCTGGTTTTTATCTACTACTCTGTTTCTACGCTGATCGAGAAATTTTAATATTTGTTTGATTAGATCCAGAATTTGCCCCGTTGGTTGAATTCTAGCTCGAGTAATGGTACGCTGCTTTTATCTTAGATGACACTTTTCGTCTTGTCTTGTGTCATATGTTCAATTTTGTAGGAAGGATGAAAAATAGGAGAAATATATTTTCTATCCTTCAAGGAAGGAAAATAGGAATGATACGCTTTTCTTTCTTTGTATTTGGTTGGATGAATGAAAAATAAAAATAACTAATTTTTTTTTAGGGGTGACAATTGAGTCGTATCGTGTCAGATTCGTGTTGAATCATTACGAATTTGTATCGATCATTAGTCATAGCAAACTCAACTCATTTAACTAATTGTGTCGTGTCTAGTTATGAATTGACGTGTTTATTTTCGTGTCGTATTCATATTCGAGTTAATCAAATTCATGTCATAAAATTCATGTGGAGTTCGAGTCGTGTCATCGTGTTAATTAAAAATTTTCACCCCTAATTAAAATGGGAAAAATATTTTTTAATTTAAAATTTTTATTTTTATTTTTATTTTTAAATTTATTTTTAAAATTTTTTAAAAATATATATAAATACATATTTTATCGTTGTATTTTTATATGAAATTAATATATGCATAATATATGTATAAATAAAAAGATATATTGACAAATAAGATATATCTCAAACACAAATAATTAACTTTCTATCTACTTTTCGTTCGATTTTGAAGGGATTTATTTTAGTGAGTTGGAAAGAAAGTTAATATATTCACTTTTTCATTCTTCCTACTTTTCTTCTTTACCAAACATGATGTTTTATTTATTTCTCCAACTTTCTATCCTTCCATCTTTTTCTCCTTTTATTTTTCTATCATACCAAACGGAGCATTAGTGTCTAACACATGTTTTAATTAAATGGTTTGGGGGAAAAATTCAGTCACATTTTATTCTATTTTATCATATCTTTGGGGATAGCTTCCTATTTTTTGAATATTCACCGGCACCCTTGTCAGATTGAAGGTGTTAATTAGAATGTAATTTTACTAAATTGGTCATGATATATTTTAAGAAAAACTTAATTCACACCTTTTTCAGATAGACATATCTTCAATGAGAAATACTCTATTTTTTAATTTTTTTTACATATTAAAATTTGAGGTGATTAAAATTCGAGATAGTTAAAATTTGAGTCAATTAAAAATTATATTTTTTTACTTATTAAAATTTAAGTCAATTAAAATTATATTCAAGACTCAAATCAAATTTTAATCAATTCCCATTAAATTTTAATTGGCCCAAATTTTGATACATAAAAAAATATATAAATTTTAATTGACTCAATTTTTAATAAGTAAAAAATAAATTTTAATCAACTTGAATTTAAATTTTAATAAATAAGAAATATAAATGTTAATCAACTCAATGCGAATTTTAATCGAGGGTAACAATTCAAGTAGAGCACAAATTGGCTCAAATTTTAATACATAAAAAAAGACTTTTAATAGACTCGAATTTTAATACGGAAACAAAATAAAATTTAAGCAGTCAAATCAAATTTTAATATTTAAAAAAAATTAATCAGCTTAAATTTCAATATGTAGAAAAATAAATTTTTATTAGTTCGAATTTTAATCAAATTTTATGTAGAAAGATTGTTTGAAGTTTATATAAGAAAATTTTTGTTATTTTAGGTAATTTATTTTTGTTATAAATGGTGATTTAATGACAGGGGTATTAATGATATTTAAATATAAATTAAAAAGAGTGTCAATTATGGTTTTGATAATTGAAGAAGGGACATCTTTAAAAATATGATAAACTAGAAGGGATGTTGCTAAAATTTTCCCATAATTTGATCTTTCATCGTCATTTTGAGTTCTTTCTATAGTCATTGACTAAAAAAAAAATTTAAAAAAACATTTGAGTCAACATTTTATTGACTTGAAAAATAAAGTACGGATCCGTTAAAAATAAAATAACGTTGACCTATTCACGATCAAAGCCTTCCAACCCGAATTGCAACTTGCCCATTTTACCCAAACGGTCACATGCCAAGCAGTATTATTCGGGGTAGTTTTGAGGAGTTTAAAGGTAGAGTTGGTGCAAAGCCTTCAAAATGGGGGGACAAAAGGCATGTATTAAATGAGGGAGGAATAAAGAGATGTAAGAAATGTTCCTGATATGTTCTTTTCTCTCTCCTTTTCCTTCTTGTAGGAAAGCGTGCATGCCAAACTCCAAGAGCGAATAGCAGGAATAGTCAAGCATCAAGATACACACCGGGATCTTACATTGTAGAGATAGACAGAGAGTGGGGCTAGGAATAGTCAAGGTGAAGATACATACAAGATCCTTTCTCTGCCTCACACAAACAGAGGGGGAGAAGAATAGTCAAATCTGAAGAGAGAGAATAAATAGGGGCTGGTTCATGGTCTTGGCACTGTCCAATAAATGCAGAGGCATTGAGTAGGCCAAATCGCATAAGTTTTTTTTTTTTGCATGTCTTTACAAGGACTGTGTCACTGTGCATAGTCAGAGGGACAACCCGAAATAAATGCCGCTTTTACTTTTGCCATTTGCCTCGCAATGCGTGCTTCTGTCGGGATATCCCCTAACCTCTGAAACCGTCCCTTTCACATCATGTCACCCCATTCATCAGTCACCACCACCCAACACACTCCCATAAATCCATCCCAACCATGCACATGTTCTGGGGCCTTCTCGGCCATCCTCCAACCTTAAAACCAATAAATCTTCATAGGTCCCCCACAAATGCATGTATTTAGCAATGTCATTATGTATCATTGGAATGGATAAGTCTAAAATACCAATACAAAAACAAATCTTAAATTGTATATCGACATTGATCTAGAAATATAGATTTTAGTTTCATTGGTTTGTAATTATTAATAGTAAAAATAATATAACAAAATTTTAAGGTATATAAAAATTGGAGATATAATACTGAATTTTTTTTTTGTATGAATCCCATAATTGACAGTGTAATTGACATTAACTTTAGTAANTATATAAAAATTGGAGATATAATACTGAATTTTTTTTTTTTGTATGAATCCCATAATTGACAGTGTAATTGACATTAACTTTAGTAATCTAGTCCGGCCACCTTTCTCTGTCTTCTTTAACTCAAGGTGATCAAAATAATGTTAAGTCAAACCATGTGAATGGAAAAATAAAACAAGAATAATGTCTTTTACTCATAGATATCAAAATTGTACAGTACATCAAACCGATAGATGGACAGGGATCAATAATTTAGTGGTTCAACATTTAGGCCAATTAGTTGTATCGGTTGTATAATAAAAAAAATTATAAATATAATAATTTAACTAAAAAAAAGTGAAACATATTCATTCCAAGCCCAAAGACATGTGNACTAGTTGGATTGGTTGTATAATAAAAAAAATTATAAATAAATAATTTAACTAAAAAAAAGTGAAACATATTCATTCCAAGCCCAAAGACATGTGTTGTGTGTCCGTGTGCATGTAGACAGAGAGAGACAAGAAGAAAACTTACAGGCACATAAATAAGAACAGTGTTGTTTGTAGTATTTCAAATATAATAAAATTACTTACTAAAATTTTTAATTTGAAACATGTAATATATAACAAAACAGCAATAGTGAAGTATGAAACAGTTACACAGCATACAAAAATAGTTACAGAAGAATTAACGAAACAGTTACAATAATCTTACAGGAACGATAACACATAATTGTTTATTTAAACAATATAAATACTAATCTAATTGCTATACAAGAACTGTTATTGAACTCTAGGTAGATCAAGACTAGTGTTTGACACTAAATACTTAAAACAAATTTCGCCCCCACACATAGTGCTTATGGAATATCAAGCGTCTGCCTCCTAGGATACAATGATCTTCATGTGAGTAAAAATAGCACTCCAATCTACTCGTCCAACGAACTAGAAATTGTGTTATGTACTCTCCAAATGCAGACTTCGTTAATGATGTATGAGACTGCCTTAAATGACTACTAATGTATTGGATGAATGAGATGAAAAATGATTATATGACTGAGTTATTTACAGAGCGAATAGTGACTATCCAAATCAAACACCATATGAACGGATGAAACCCAGCAAACACATGTAGGCAGTAGACAACACTTGTGTAACTGTTCTTTATGAACATACACAACTCAATTTCGGACTAGAGGGAAGCAACAGATCCAAACCAGCGCAATCCAACGAATACCGAAAATTAATTTTGGTTTAGAAATTCTTGCCTAATTAATTAAACAATTTTTTTCTAAAAAGAGAGGGCTTGGTCCACCCACACCTAAACCCGAACCCGAGCTAGCTGAGTCGGGTTGTGGCGTAGCGGGCGGGTGGGTGATGCACGCACGTGTGTGATAGAACCAAAGGCATGTAGGCACTCACTCTATTCATAAAATTGTAGTACCCATTGTGTCCCAATTTCATAGAGAAAATTTGCCCTATATATGCCCATGTAGAATTTCTTCCTCAACCGATGTGGGATTGGTGTCAAATTTCATATTGCACAACATTTATTCTCACATTTTAAGAAAGGTCATTTTGGAGCTTATTTTCTCATTCATTTCTTACTTAATTTGAGCAAGTGAATATACTACATTATTCTTCCCATAGAGTAGAATACGAACCCACGAAAGTTTACTCGAAATAATGAACGAGTCTCATTTTAATTTAGGCACAAAGTTGTCCAAAAATTAATTTTTACACTTAAAAAACTGTTTTGGTCCAACAATCCCCCACATGAATGAAAAATTGACTGTTAGTATGCAAATAATAATGTTAATACACTATATAGAGTAATTCTTTGAAAAGATCATGTATCGAGATAGGTAGATTTTAACCTTGAACCTTCCCTAGTGAAATCTCATCGGACTTACCAGCTAAATAATGAACGTGATGTCTTGAACTATTCAGCTGTTTGATAAATCAGATCGAATAGAATTCACACATTCTTTTTCCTAACACAATTGGTTCTCATGATTGTGTTCATTTTGGCCCAGAATCAACTCCTAGTTTTCATGGATGCTAAAGAGAATTTAACCTTTATAAATTCTCACAAAAGCAGCCCCTTCACACTCATATAGGTGACTCCTATAGAAAATATCCTGCAATATCCCACTTGAATTTTTCAAGATATAAGAGTCATTAAAAGCATAGCTTTCCTTAATAAACTTTGCAGACAACATTAGTTTATCATAGGAATAGGTAGGAAAGAATATCTCCTTAGTACTTTTTTTGAATCACACATAATTCAGTTGTCCCTTTGAACCTAGATTTTGGGATCTCTAGTCAACTAGGTTGAATTTTCATTAAGGTGACTCTTGTGTCATAGGTTTTACTCTCATTTCCCTCGATATACAATTTAGTTGCTCTCTTGTCAAACTTTTAGGAAGCGGATCCACTAGATTATCCTTTGATTTTTTATAATCAATAGAAATAATCTCATTTGAGAACAATTGCCTAAAAGTATTATGTCTACGACGTATATATCTAGACTTATCATTNATAGAAATAATCTCATTTGAGAACAATTGCCTAAAAGTATTATGTCTACGACGTATATATCTAGACTTATCATTATACATGTCATTTTGTACCCTATCAATTATAGATTGGCTACCGCAGTGTATACAAATTGTTGGTACAGGTTTAGGTCATATTGGAATATCCTCTAGAAATTTGCAAAGCCACTCAGCTTCTTCTCCTGTCTTATCGAAAGCAATAAATNTCCTCTAGAAATTTGCAAAGCCACTCAGCTTCTTCTCCTGTCTTATCGAAAGCAATAAATTCAAATTTTATTGTGGATCTGACAATACACGTTTGGTTAGAAGATTTTCAAAAAATAGCTACACAATCAAGTGTAAAAATATAACCACTTGTGGATTTTGTATCCTTCATATCAGATATCCAATCTGAATCACTATACCCTTCAAGTATAGCTGCATATCTAGTATAGTGTCATCCAAAATTTAGGGTATATCTTAAATATCTTTGAACCCTGATAATTGTCTTNATCCAATCTGAATCACTATACCCTTCAAGTATAGCTGCATATCTAGTATAGTGTCATCCAAAATTTAGGGTATATCTTAAATATCTTTGAACCCTGATAATTGTCTTCCAATGGTCTACTTCCGGATTACTCATATATCTGCTCAATTTACTAACTGAGTATTTTACATCCGGTGNTTCCAATGGTCTACTTCCGGATTACTCATATATCTGCTCAATTTACTAACTGAGTATGTTACATCCAGTCTAGTGTAGTTCATGACATACATTAGACTATCAATGACACGAGAGTATTTCAATTGTGATATGCTTTGACCAGTATTTTTAGACAAGTAAAGATGTATATCAACTTTTGTTCTAACAATACTATGTTCATCTTTGTCGAACTTCTTCTCAATATAATGTGATTGAGATAATGTAAGTCCATCAGATGTTCTAGAAATTTTAATTCCTAGTATAAAATCTACAACATCCAAGTTCTTTATGTCAAACTTACTAGACAATATTTTCTTGGTAGTTGTAATAATATTATTATTACCACCGAAAATAAGCATATCATCTATATATAGANGTGATTGAGATAATGTAAGTCCATCAGATGTTCTAGAAATTTTAATTCCTAGTATAATATCTACAACATCCAAGTTCTTTATGTCAAACTTACTGGACAATATTTTCTTGGTAGTTGTAATAATATTATTATTACCACCTAAAATAAGCATATCATCCATATATAGGCAAACAATGACATGTCCATTATTTATGTCTTTGACATAGACACATTTATCACATTCATTAATTGTGAAACAATTTGACATCATTACTATGTCAAATTTCTCATGTCATTGTTTTGGTGTTTGCTTTAAACCATAAAGTGATTTAACAAGTCTACACATCTTCTTCTCTTGTCCCAGAGAAATGAACCATTCGGGTAGGTTCATATAAATTTTCTCATTTAAGTCATCATTTAGGAAAGCTATTTTTACATCCATTTGGTGTATCTCAAGATTATGTAATACTGCAATGGTTATGAGCATACGAATAGATGTTATTCTCGTGACAGGAGAATATGTATCAAAATAATCAAGACCTTCTNGATTTAACAAGTCTACACATCTTCTTCTCTTGTCCCAGAGAAATGAACCATTCGGGTTGGTTCATATAAATTTTCTCATTTGAGTCATCATTTAGGAAAGCTATTTTTACATCCATTTGGTGTATCTCAAGATTATGTAATAATGCAAT